AGGGAGGGGCTGGGGAGGTGGCTCAGTGGTAGAGCACTTGCCTTGCATGCCTGAGGCCCTGGGTTCAATTCCTCAGCACCACATAAGCAAAAAGAAAAAAGCCGGAAGTGGCGCTGTGGCACAAGTGGTAGAGCTCTAGCCTTGAGCTGAAGAGCTGAGGGACAGCGCCCAGGCCCAGAGTTCAGGCCCCACAACCGGACCCTCCCCCCCCCAAAAAAAGAACCTCAGGGACAGTGTCCAGGCCCTGAGTTCAATCCCCAGGACTGGCAAAAAAAAAAAAAAGCTACTAAAAGTCATGCTAAAGATAAGCTTAGTCTAAGGTGTACCCAAGTCCAGACCTTCTTGTGGTGCTAGCCTGAGGAATCTTTCAGAGCTGGATGCACCTTGCCTAGCCATTTTCAAATGCTGCCATCTGGCAGCCCAAGGGAAGGAGAAAATTCACCACCACCACCACCTCCATAAAAATGACTAAAAGCTAAAAGACAGAACTTATGCATTAAAGTCCATCATCACTCATGATTGGCAAAGAGTTACAGACAATCCCAACATTGTGCTCACGAGTCTATGTACATTTAAAGATTTAGAAATGAAAACCATATCTTACTCCACGTGTCATATTGTAAAGTGTTCTTAACACTTTAAAAGTTCTCAGTTACACTGCCTCACAGTTACGAGGGCAAGCAATTATCACTGTATTTCCTAGTTGACACAGACTTTATAAGGACCTTTCACTGGCTTCAGTGGAGAATGAATCTAGAAAGGAAGAAAATGGCGGGGGGGGGGGGGCACACAGGCTGGGAATGTGTGTGCCTTAGTAGTATAGAGTGCATTTGCCTAGCATGCATGAAGCCCTGGGGTTCCATTCCTCAGTACCACATAAACAGAAAAAGCCAAAGTGGTGCTGTGGCTCAAATGGTAGAGTGCTAGCCTTGGGCAAAAGAAGCTCGGGGACAGTGCCTAGGCTCTGAGTTCAAGGCCCTGGGTTTAAGCCCCTGGACTAGAAGGGGAAAAAAAGCAAAGAAAGAAGGGAAAGGAAAAGAAAAGAAGGGAGGGAGGGAGTGAAAGAGAAAGAGAAAGAGGGGGGAAGAGGAGGGGAAAGGGAAGGGGAAGAGGTATAGTGTTCTGTAATCATAGCTACTCAGAAAGCCAAGGTCAGTAGAGTCATAGTTCCAGGCCAGCCTGGACAAAAAGACACCCTCTACTGGAAAAGAAAAATTAGGAAATGGTACTGTGGCTCAAGTGGTAGAGCACTAGCTTTGAGCTGAACAGCTCAGAGTACAAGACCCATGACTGACCAAGAAAAAAAGAGGGCTGGGAAGGTGGCTCAGTGGTAGAGCGCTTGCCTTTATGCCAAGCAAAATAAAGAAAAAAAAGCCGGAAGTGGCCCTGTGGCTCAAGTGGTAGAGCGCTAGCCTTGAGCTGAAGAGCTGAGGGACAGCGCCCAGGCCCAGAGTTCAGGCCCCACGACCGGACCCAAAAAAAAAAGGAAAAGAAAAATAACTGGGGGAAAGAAAAGAGCTGGAGCTGTGGCTCCATGGTAGAGCACTTGTCTAGTAAACATGAAGCCCCAACTTCAAACCCCACAACGATCAAAAACAAACAAGGAACAGACTCCAAGTTTGGGTGTGGGAATAAGTGAACCTCAAACCCCAGTAATTTCTCATGAGAATGTTTTTTTGTTTTTTGTGGGTTTTTTTGGTCAGTAGTGGGGCTTGAACTCTGGGCCTGAGCGCTGTCCCTTAGCTCTTCAGCTCAAGGCTAGTGCTCTACCACTTGAGCTACAGCACCACTTCTGGTTTTCTGGTTGTTTACTGGAGATAAGAGTCTCACGGACTTTCCTGCCCTGACTGGCTTTGAACCGAGATCCTCAGATCTCAGCCTCCTGAGTAGGTAGGATTACAGGCGTGAGCCATGTGCACCCGGATGAGTATGTTATATTTGTACTAAGCTCTAGAGGGAAAAAATGTAAATGTTTGTTGAATGTAATGGACTAGATATTTTTTAACTGATCAATAAAGATGACAGAAAAAAAGTCAATAACTAAAAAACAAAATCCACCTGATAAGAATTTTACATATAGGTCATGCTCTAAAAGTGAAATCTATAGATTCACTCTACCTTCACATTTTTTTGTCCATTGTGGGGCTTGAACTCAGGGTCCTAGGCACTGCCTCTAAACTTTTTTTTTTTTTTTTTGCTAGTGCTACTTTGAGACACAGCGCCATTTCCACTTTTTTGGTGGTTAATTGGAGACAAGATTCTCATAGACTTTCATTCTCGGGCTGGTTTCAAACCCTGATCCTTAGGTCTCAGACTTCTGAGTGTCTAGGATTATAGGCATTAGCCTCAGTTTTTGTAATTCCAATATCATTTCCCCTGTAACAAAAGGAAAATGGTAGCATCTTTATAAGATATAAAAACTCCCAACTTAAGCTATATGGAACAATAGTTTCATATATCAAAGAAGTCATATAAATGAAAGCCAAGTACCCAACTGTGATGTGCTTTAAAAAGTTCATTTTTTCTATAACTTTAAGGTCTATGCTGAGCATGGTGATCACATCTGTAATCCCTGTATTCCCTGAGATTCAAGTCCAATCTGGGCTATGCAATGAAACTGTATCTCAAAGAAATATTTAGAGTCATGAAAAGAATGTTAAAAATAACAGAATTATAAAACTGAGTATATTGATTTGGATCTACTATAATTCAAACCACATTCCACAAGCCATAAATACAATCAATACATATAAATCTGCTGACAGTTTTTTAAGCCACAATTTTAACACAGGAAATGTAACATGTACTGTGGATCACATAAATATACAAAGTGAATTCATATATATACATAAAGTGAACACAAAATTCTGGTTTGACCAAATGTATCAGTTTTTTTCTCACTGCTGTTTAGAAGCCAAGCAGAGAATTTCACCAGTCATTCTAAGATAGAATAACAGTAAATCTGTCAAAAACAGTAACTGAGGGACTGTGGATGTATGGATGTAGCACACTGATAAGAACCTATGTCGGGTACCACTACCACAAAAAAACAAACTAAGGGGAAGCTATGCAATGTACAAATGTGACAGCCTCTAAATAAATGGTTTTAAAGGCATAAACAATAAACTGGCTTATTCATTTGGGGAAATTACCCTACAGACATATGAAGATGGTTTTGTTGGGCTATCCCACCTTTTCTACAAAATAAGGGGCCTAATAGGATATTTGTAACTTACTAGTTACTTGTTAACTAACACAGACAAGAATCTGGAAAATGTTCGTAACAATTACAAAAATGAATGTTTATCAAAAAGAGTTATGCATATGGTATTAAACCAATAAGAATGCTGAAAGAGATGTCAAATAAAAAGAAATATGAGACATCATCCCGTTCCTTCAAGTGCCTCTTATTTGGATGTGGGTATATACACATGAAGGAATGAGAACAACTAATTGGTAAACTCAACTGTTATCTTCAAGAGTTGTCCAGAAAAGTTTAAATATCGAAAGGCTGAAATAATAGTACTTTTAATAGCTATCACTTGGGCACTTAGTATGAGCCAAGTGCTTTACAGGCATTATTTAGTCTTCACAACAATCCTTTGAGTAGAGTACTTATTATTTCCAATTTACTCAAGGGGAAACAAAGTGGTTAAGGAACTTACCCAAGGTCACTCAGCTAGTTAAGTGGATAAGACGGCCACTTATTCAGGCAATTCAATCTCAAGCTCGTACTGTTAAGTTTCACACAACAGTGCGAGGGGGAAGGGAGGCTGCGGGGGAAGAGTATGCCTTATAGGCTGGCAATGTTACAAGAACAAGATCGGGCAACGCGTTCGCGGCACAACACGGCACGGCGCTCCAAATAACAAAGTTCCAAGGATTCAAGTCTTCCCATTAGCCACAATAAACTAGCTACTGGGGTGGGGTGCAGGCAGACGACCCAAATTACTAACAAATTTTAATCTCACACCGGACTGAGGTTTAATCTTCCAAGGCGATTTAAGAAAATGAAATTAGAACATTATTCGTTTTTAAATATGTGGTTGACTTTGCTGCTTAGACAATTCCTCCCCCCACTCCCGGAAGGGGGGAGGAGTGGAGCGCTATTTTAGGCGAGGAAACCACAAGTATGGCAAATTACCGTTTTCTGTATTACCGGGAGGGGGTAAAAATTAAGTTTTAGGACCAAGGGAAACGTGTTATTGTAGGTAGTCAAGCTTGGAGAGTAGCCACAATTAGTTACAGTAGCAGGACATAGTGGGGTATAAGAAGCATTTGCAGTGAAAGTTGAATCCAACCCGAAATCGCTCTAAAGGTGAAAAGACGGAGCAAAGAAGTGCTGTAGGTCTTCGGGGAGAATGGCATCCCAGCCACACTTCCCCACGGCCCGCGGCGCTGCGCAAGGCCAGGACAGTCCAAGATCTCTCTCCCCGGGAGGACGAGAGATGCCAAACGGGGCTCTTCACGACACCCCAGGCTTCTGGGCAGCGCAGAGGGGGGAGAGTGTCCAGGACAGTTCGCCCTCCTCAGACTTCGGGCAAAAGGAGGTTGCCAGGCTTCAAACTGAGGAGTCGAATGGGTGCAGAGTGAAGAAATGGCACCGAAAGAAATGGGAAGTCCGAATCGCTCCGGCTCAGGTCCATAAAGAAAGGAGCCAAGTGAGCTCAGGCAGACGGGGACAAAAAGACACCACAGCGATCGGGAGCGCGGAGACCCACAGGGGCAAAACGACAAATCGGCTGAGATCAACGGAGCTGAGCCACTGGGTGCAAGCAGGGGATTTAACAACACCGGAAGGGAAAAAGGAGAACGGCGACAGTTACCAACACCTCTCCTTCTGGAGTTCGAAACTCCTAGCCAACCCAACAACCGCCGCCCCAGTGGGGGAGGGGGTACATTGTCCCCTTCCTCACCCCCAACCTACCACCACATTTAAGGGTACTGCCGACGCCTTGACCCAGCCAGGCCGTTGAGCTGCCTGTGGCAGCGACACTCACAATTCGCATCTCCCTGTTTTCTCCCAGTTCTTTATCCACTCTGCGGGAAGCACCACGGTTGCGTCCGCCATCTTCCCCTCACTAGTAACAGAAGCCCGGATGTGTAGCACGCGAGCGCAGGGTCAAAGGGGAGCACCGCCCACGGGGAATGCCGGGAGCTGGGAGTTCTCTTTTCAGTTTCCCGCCCCACCTTCCGCATCACCCGACCGAAGGCCAAGGCTGGGCCGCCTACGCAACATCTGTGGCCCGTTTCTCGGCGTGACTAAGCTGGCCGCGCCCTCCCTGGTCCTCGCCCTTGTTTCTCGTTAGAACAGGACAAATAAATGGCAGACTCACTGACTCAGCTACCCTTTTCTTCCACAGTATCTACCCTAAAGCACGCGTTCAACTTTGTATTTTTCTAGCACTGAAATGGTCAGTAACCACTTTGACTGAAGAAACAGTATCCTCTGACACCTGTCCTCAAGCTGCGCAGGATCTGTAGCAAATATACAAAAATGAGATTAAAAAGTATCTCAGAGCCAGGCGCTGGTGGCTCACACTTGTAATACCTAGCTGTTCAGGAGGCTGAGATCTAAGGATCACGGTTCAAAGCCAGCCCCAGGCAGGAAAGTCCATGAGATTCTTATCTCCAACTTAAATACCATAAAACCGGAAGTGGCTCTGTAGCTCAAGTGGTAGAGTGCTAGCCTTGAGCTGAAGAGCTCAAGGACAGTGCCCAGGCCCAGAGTTCAAGCCCCATGATCAACAACAACAACAGAAAAAGTATCTCAGTAATGACCCTGACACAAATGGAGAAGGTTACTATTTAACTTATGTCAAACAATGTAGTCTTGAAAAACTTCATCTCTGAGTACTGACAGGACCAGCCAAAGTAGAAGGCTCAGCAAAGCATAAAGAAACAATGTTACTTTTGGATCCTAAAGTACTTTTTCAGGAGAAACTAATACAAAACAGGAAGTTAAGTTCTCTGCAGGTAAACCGCATGACTGGTATGCGGCATGCCCTGATTTTAATACTCCCAAGTACTACAAAAATTAAAATAAATGCCTCTAGAAATGCAAAAGAACTGTGTCTCCTGATGGAATGTTAAGAAAAATAATAATAAAAATTAGCTTTTTTTTGTACTGTTTTCGTTTTAGACCTCGAACTCATGGCCTGGGTACTGCAACCTTGAGATTTTTTTCCCCCTCAAAACTGTGCTCTACCACCTTGAGCCACAGCTCCTCTTCTGGTTTTCTGGTGGTTAATTGCAAATAAGAGTCTCATGTTCTTCACCTGATTTAGCTAGTTGTAACCCCTCTAAACATCACTGTTATAATTGTGTGTGTGTGTGTGTGTGTGTGTGTGTCTATGTTTAATCAGACTTTCCTGCCTGGGCTGGCTTTGATCCAAGAGATTCAGATCTCAGCCTCCTAATTAGCTAGGATTACAGGTGTGAGCCACAATGGCACCAGACTTCTTTCTTTTTTATTTTTTCCTTTTCTTTTCTAATACTATAGGATTACAGGTGTTAGCCACCCTGCCGTGAGCCACCCTGATGCCAGGCTTTTTTTTTTTTTTTTTTTTTTTAACTTACAAATCACTGCAAAATTTGTATAACCTGAATTCAACCCTGAAAGAACTTTGAACAAATCCATGCTTAGGAGCCATCTAAAAAGTTTCTGGGGCTTGGGAAGGTGGCTCAGTGGTACAGTGCTTGCCTTGCATGCTTGAGGCCCTGGGTTCAATTCCTCAGCACCACATAAGCAGAAAAGCTGGAAGTGGTGCTGTGGCTCAAGTGGGAGAGCACTAGTCTTGAGCTGAAGATCTGAGGGACAACGCCCAGGCCCAGAGTTCAAACCCCACAACCAACAAAAAAGAAAAATCTGGCTTTCACTCTTCAAACTTGTCAGAGTCATGCACCACAAACATTACTTCTTCTAGGAGACAAGAACATAACTGATCCCAACCAGATTGTTTTGCTTTTACTATAAAGAAAATTACTACCACACTTGACTAAACTTCAATATCTGTAAAGTAACAATGCTGTATCAGTGAAATGTGAAGAAGTATAACCATAAAATCCCATTCCATATAACTAATGTAAGCTAAAGCAAAATTAAACAAAGCTGGCACCAGTGGCTCGGTTCTAAGACGACCTGGACAGGAAAATCTTTGAAACTCTTATCTCCAATAAACTACTAGAACACCGGAAGTGGCACTGTGGCTCAAGCAGTAGAATGCTACCCTTGAGCTGAAGAGCACATGTACAGGGCCCAAGCCCAGAGTTCAAGCCCCACGATGGACCAAAACAAAAAACAAGTAAACAAAATTAAAGAAATATTTCCAGGCACCGCTGGTTCATGCCTATAATCCTAACTAATCAGGAGGCTGAGATCTGAGGCTTGTAGTTCAAAGCTAGCCTAGAAAGAAAAGTCCATGACTTTTTTTCCAGTCCAGGGGCTTGAACTCAAGGCCTGGGCACTGTCACTGAGCTTCTTTTGCTCAAGGCTGCACCCACCACTTTGAGCCACAGCACCACTTCCAATTTTCTGGTGGTAAATTGGAGATGAGTTTCATGAACTTTCCTACCCAGGCTAGCTTTGAACCACAGTCCTCAGAGCTCAGCCTCCTGAGCAGTTAAGATTAAAATATGAGCCACCAGCACCTTGCTTATGAAACTCTTTTATCTCTTAACCATAAAATACTAGAAGTGGAGTTGTACTCATTACTTTACTCATATAACTGTAACCCTTCTGGTTACAGTTTTTTGGGGGGTTGGTTGTGGGGCTTGAACTCTGGGCTGGGTGCTGTCCCTCACCTCTTTAGCTCAAGGCAAGCGCTCCACCACTTGCGCCACAGCGCCACTTCCAGCTTTTTCTGTTTATGTGGTACTGAGGAATAGAACCCAGGGCCTCATGCGTGTGAGGCAAGCACTCTACCACTGAGCCACCTTCACAGTCCTGTACAACATCTTTACAACAAAATGAAAATGTTTTTAAAAGAATGCTAGCCTTGAGCAAAAGAGCTTAGGAACAGTGCCCAAGCCCTGAGTTCAAGCCCAGGATTCACACACACACACACACACACACACACACACACACACACACACACACACACACACACAGAAAGAGAGAGAGATACTATATCAGTGTTGATTTACTTTAAGTACTTGTACTGTAGTTATGTAAAAGACAGTCTTCTAAGAAAAAACCCTCACGCTGGTCCCATTAGCCACTCTGGAAGCTCATAACAGGATCCTGGTTCAAACCCAGCCAGGGCGAAAAGTCATGAGACACTGTATCTCCAATAGATCACCAAAAAGCCGAAATGAAATTGCAACTCTAGTAGGAAAGCACTAGCCTGGAGCACAAAAGCTCTGGGACAGCACCTAAGCCCCGAGTTCTTCCCCAGGACTAACACACAAAAGAGCAGAGAAAAAGATGGCCTCAGGACAGGCACTTTTGGCTAAGGCCTGCAATCCTAGTTACCGTTGAAGACTGCGATCTGAGGATTGTGGTTCAAAACCAGCTGGGGCTGGAAAATCGAAGAGACTCTTATCTCCAATTAAGTACCCAAAACAAAACAAAACAAAACACCAGAAATGAAGTTGTGCTCAAGTTATAGAGCACTAGCCTTAGGCAAAAAACTCAGGAACAAGTCCTGAAAAACAAAAAAGAAAGAAAGAAAAGAAAAGAAAATCTCTGCCTTGCGTTTCCACATATGCTTGTAATTAATTAATTAATTAATTAATAAGCTGGGTGCCAGTGTTTCATGCCTGTAATCCTAGCTACTGTGGAAACTGAGAAATGAGGATAATGGTTCCAAGCCAAACTGGGAAAGAAAGTTCAGAAGTATAGCTGTGGCTCAAGTGGTAGGGCTCTAGCCTTAAGCACAAAAGCACAGAGATGGTGACCAGGCCCTGAGTTCAAGTCCTAGTACTGGCACGAGAAAAAAGTTTTTATTTTTTAGAGTATTTTTTGTCGGTTGTGGGGCTTTAACTCTGGGCCTGGGCACTGTCCCTCAGCTCTTTAGCTTAAGGCTAGCACTCTATCAGTTGAGCCACATCACCACTTCCCATTTTCTGAGTGGTTTATGAAGACTTTCCTGCCTGGGCTGGCTTTGAACCGTGATCCTCAGATCTCAGCCTCCTGAGTAGCTAGGATTACAGGCATGAGCCACCAGCACACAGCCAGAAAAAAAGTTTTGGTTTTTTTTGGGTCTGGTCATGGGGCTTGAACTCTGGGCCTGGGAGCTGTCCTTCAGCTCTTCAGCTCAAGGCTAGCGCTCTACCAGTTGAGCCACAGCGCCACTTCGGCTTTTTTTTCTGCTTATGTGTTGCTGAGGAATCAAACCCAGGGCCTCATGCATGCAAGGCAAGCGCTCTACCACTGAGCCACCTTCCCAGCCCCCAGAAAAAAAGTTGTTAGAGCACATATTTTGCAGATATTTTGCAAAATACACAGGTAAACAAATAAAATCCTATGATATGTGTGTGTTAATATATGATCTTTAGAGCTAGTATTGATATAGGAGTTAGACGGAATGTTAGGAAATCTGATAGCTGAAAATGATGGCTTGGATATTGATAAGGAACATCATCCTAGACTAATGATATTATAACTGATCTGACTGTCCAAACCCATGAACACCCCCGTGAGACAACTTGATGACCCAGTTTCCAGAAGTTGATTACATAAAACAATTTTCCAAGACTGACCACTCTCATATCCACAGACTCTCCCAATAAAAGCTTAAATCTTGGGACCTCCATCTCGAGCCTGCCTATCCTCTCACATGAAAAGTGTATTTTTGGACTGATTTGTCTTTGCTTTACATTCACAAACTTATTCTTCCTTAAATCTCTTTGTCAATTTTTGAATTCTTTCTCTGACAAGACCAAGAATTGTCTAACATCTAGACCCATTGACTCAAATCAGGAAACAGTAGCTTCTAAATATGGCAGATCATATCAGATGAACCACATTCATTTGCATTGAAAAACTGTTTTGGGGATATTCTATGTTCAGAATAAGTAGATTCAGGGGAAATGGAGGTGTGGCTCAAGTGGTAGAGTGGAAAAAGTAAGGGACAGAACATGGGCCTTGAGTTT